CAATTATACATGTTTACCACGTCAACAATGTGGTCGTAAGTATTATTTAATATGAATTTTAACTTGTGTAGTTAGTAAACTGATAATATTATAGACGATAGTTACAAGGATTTAGTAACATATTTTATAACATCGTATAGGAATCAAGAGGACGGTTCAGAACTACTTCTTTAGTCTATCTATAAGATTCCTGGAACGGTTATAAACTACCAAGAAAGTCGGATTAGTAGATGTTCTTTTACAGTTTTTACTGAAACTCTAAACTATACATACAAACAAACAAAATATGAGTTCATGAAATAGTTATCAAGGAGAGAGGTCCTCATGTAAGACGTATATCGTATAATAAATACTTACAAGCCATTTTTATTATATGATTATTAAAAAGTCATAAATATGCTTTTATCTTATAGCATCATCGATACAGGTTGGAGCAGTTGTTGCTGGTAATGCTAATGGTGCGCAAGGAAGTTCTTTAACTACACTTTACTATCCAGCAGGAATTACAATTGGAATTGACAACTCACTTTATGTATCCGACTCTTACAATAGCAGAGTCTTGAGATTTCCAGCAGGATCTTTAACGGGTTCACTCGTCGCTGGAACAGGATCTCCAGGCGCTAGTAACAACCAATTATATGGGCCTTCAGGTTTATATATTGATACGTCGTTTAATCTCTATGTGGCAGATACTTATAATTATCGAATAATGCTTTGGCAAAATAACTCGTCGTTTGGTGTTCGAGTGGCCGGAACTGGTTTGTCTGGAAATACGTTAAGCAGTTTCGGTCTTGTAGGTGGAATATTTGTTGATTCACAAAAAAATATTTATGTTTGTGATCAAGCTAATAATCGCATAATGAGATTCTCACCTAATACCACGTTTGCCACAATTATCGGTGGTACCGGTGTTGCTGGTAATGATGATCAACAGCTCAATTCACCAACTAGTCTATTCTTTGATGAGCCCAATTTCTATCTTTATGTTTCTGATACTAACAATCATCGAATTCAACGATATCATGTTGGTGTTTCGTTAAACGGAACTACCGTTGCTGGAGGAAATGGTCAAGGACCTGGAAGTAATCAGTTGAATATGCCATATTCATTATGCGTCTCAACAATCAATAGTTATATTTATATTACAGATGGTGGAAACCATCGTGTGCAACGCTGGAGTTTTGGAGCATCATATGGAGTGACCATTGTCGGCAATGGTGCAATAATAAGAAATGATTCAACATTGATACAAGGAAATATGACTATTAGACTAAACAATAATGAAAATAATCTATTTGTAAGTGAAATGACGGAAAATAGAGTTTGGCGTTTCCAACTCATTTAATAAATACGCTCAAAATTATCATTAACATATGAATAAAACATATATATGTTGTGTCGTTTTTGGTGAAATATTATATTTAATCATGCATTTATTATATATTTTCAAAATCCTTTTGTTGTCGCTCGTTTTTATTCTTTATGCCTCTTTTTTTTCATAAAACAAGAATGATCCTACTCTTCACAATATTCACATCTTAAATTCTCAACGATATCAACAGTACGTGAGGAAATGAAAGAGAATCAGTATTCTCTATAGCATGTGATATATCATGCCATAATACTTCCCCTCTCCGCTGACAGTGAAAAAAAAATAATATGACAGAACGAAAACATTAGAAAAAAACGACTAAAATAAAGAGTACATAAAGTTATAATAAAGCACAACAGTAAAATAAGAATCGCAAAAGGCTTTGAAAGGCGATAAAAGTAATTCATGAAAAATTGTGGATGTGAGTGTGTGTGTAGGACGAGATGATTGAGAAATAGAAGAACGTGATCCATTATTAGAATGATTGGTATGTGTAATAGTAGGACTAGTAGTTGCAGTAAGATGAGTAAAATATAGTTGAGTAGCAGTTGCGTTGGATGATGAAAAATAAGAGAATTCTTTTTGCAGCTCTTCTTCGTCGCGAGCAATTTTGTAAAAATTGAGCTGGTGATGGATCATCATCAAGTGTCTTCATGCGACGTTTAATATGAATTATTAGTTCAGCAAGAACACCATCCTGTAAATAATCGACGATCATGTGAAGTGGCATGTCACTATCTACTTGTTTACATAAATCAATGGCATATGCTTACAAGGAGTAACCTGAAATATACAAAATTCATCAGCAATATTTCTGCCAATATGTAATACAATACCGTCACATCTGCATCGACTTTGATTGACCTCCTGCTTTTCGATGCAGAGATGTTCTTCTCTTAAACAGCCAGTCGTATCACATAAATGTGATGCTAAATATAAATGTAAGTGTAAGTTAAAATAAGGAGAAAAAATTTGTGGACTTACCTTGTTCATGGTTTCTTCCTCCAGCCAGTAACGGAAGTTGATGACCACTACGACCTAAAATAAGACGAAGAATAATATGGTGACAGTATATATGTAAAGAATTTATTTTTTTTGTTTTACGAAACTTTCTAAAACTTAGTCGAACTGATAGTGACCAGGTTCTGCCGCGTCGCTGTGAATTAACTCCTGGATGTTTGGCTGGTCGTTGGTTTAGATGTTTTTCTCTAATTTTGCACTCCATCCATCTTTTAAAAAAAGCGCCTAAAACAACGCAAATATAAATTATTTTATTTAATCAAAATGTTACTTACCGTCTGGGTATTGTTCTCCTCGAGCATTTTTCATTGTAACAAGCTGCTCCATTTTAATCGATAAACTCTTAAAATGATCGTCATTTACTAAATCAAGATAAGAATAAAGCGTAAATAAATCTGATACAAAATCACTTACTTCACCAAGTTCCAGAGAATTGAGAAATTCTTGTGGATTATTTGTTGATGCCATTTACAATTATATAATTTTATTCACTTTGATAATGATATATGTACTGAGTTGAATATAGACAATATATATACGCACTTTATTCATCGTCCGTTATGTTCTGTATATGATCAATATGAAGTGACTAATAATCATTCTCAACGAGATAATCAATAGCCAATTAAGATTAATTATGTATTGAATTGAAATAGAACAAACAGACCATAATCGAGAACATAACTCACACTTTCAATACTTCTTACTCTTTCGTTTATTCATTATTCATTTAGTCATTATTTATTTATTCATTA